CCCCCGCCTCTCCTGAAAGGCCAGCCGGTCCCCGCGGGTGGCTTGCTGCAAATGGAGAGGCACAGGCACTCCCAGCATCGCCTGCCCACGGATGAAGGACCACCAGCACCCACCCACGGGGGGCCCCTGCAGAGCTGCCAGGGCTCGGTTTGCCCTGGTAGAGTCAGTGGGGTCCCCAGGGAGGAAAGACAACACCACCGGGTGCAGCAGCTCCCCAGCTCTGCCCACCCAGCCACCAGCAGCTCACGCTGGTGCCAAGTTCCCGCTACCTTGTTAATCTCCTTGTGTCTCTCCCTGCTGACGATTTCTTCTAGTACTTCTCCATCTCCCTTAATAAGCCTGGAAGACAAGCACAGGCCCACAAGCCATGAGGGCTACTGGCAAGTTCCTGCCAGCCACAGAAGGTGCTGACCCCCCCCACCCCGAGGGCTGCTGCTGTGCCCCAGCTCAGGCACGCAGCCACAGGCTCCCGTGCTGCGGTACATGCCCAGGACCAGCTGCTGGGCTCATGCACTGCTAGGCAAGGCCAGCGACCACCTACCCCTGAAGTTACATTATGTGACTTTTTTTTGGCCGTATCAAGCTTAAATAGCATGGCAAGCTTTTCCATTGCTCTTGGGGGATTAATGTCACCATGCTGCAGCAAGGACAGGTGTGGTCCCCTGAAAAATCAGCATCTCTCTGCATGGGCCAGCCCTCCCTGCCCCAGGCTGCGGGCACTGACTGCTGTGTGCAGATCCTGTCACGCTTGCACACGGCAGGAGAAAATACTCGTAATAAAAGCATCTCCTGCCACCCCACCATCTGCAGGCTTCGCTGTCAACAGCACTGGTCCCCAACCCCTGCAAAACCTCTTCCTTTTTTCACACAGCGCTCAGGTCTGGTCATGACTACCCCAGGAAACGGCAGAGCCATTCAGAAACAGGAGCCAGTTTGGGCCCGAAAGGCAGCCAGACAAGGGAGCATCTTGCTGAGCAAATTCCAAGCAGTTGTCAGAGGCGGCTCACACCTCCAACCATGAACGGAAATTTAATTGTCTTCATTACGTGCCTTACAGGGAACCGACCTTTGTTCCACACCTCCCTGAACCCCGCAGGCTGCCTTCTATTTTAAGACTGGACTTGTCATACCCAATTTCTTCAGCATGATGTTTTCTGCTTGCTGAGACGATGCAGTTTATTAAAAACTGGGTCATTTCTATTTGGCAGCTAAATGAACTTCAGTTTGATTGCTGTCCGTAACCCCAAGGGGCACACGCTTCCCTCCTCGCTTACACCTGGGTGCTAACCGGGGCTGAGTGCTTCAGAGCTGAAAGGCACGTGCATGAAGCAGGGGGGTGAGGAGGTGTCAGTCACCCCGCTAGTTCCTGTTCTGCCCCTGGTTGCAGAGTCCCATTTAATGGGGACAAGCTGAACCCTTCGCAGCACAAGGAACAAACCTTCTGCCTCCAGCAGCAGGGTGCTCTGGTGTCTGCATCCCGCAGCTCCTGGCTGGGACACAGCCCGGTGCCTCTTGCATGGAGCTCCAGCACAATTCAATAACTTGGTGTCAAACAAACATATCACTTTCTGGGTAAGTTACACCATGTCTGATGGGAGGAGATCTGTGAGGGATCGGCTCAGGCCTTTGCTGCCGAAGGGCACCTAGGTCCACGCATGGTACTGCAGGGCCATGGATGGGCATCCTCCAGGAGTCCAACCCACAAAACACGGACAGGGATGGACAAACCACCTCCCTTTTTCCCAGGGATCATACCTGGTTCTCCCTGTTTCGGGATCCACGACTCTCCTTATGACACTCTGCCTCGCGTCCCATTCTTCCTTTGTCATTGGCTTCATAGCCTGGATTCGGGATTTTTGTTCATCTGTCAAAACTGGAATGCATCAGTTAGAGCTGTGCTCACAGGGCCGGCTCCTGGCTGCGGGGCACAGCACCACGCCGGCAGTGAACAGACACGCATGCCACACCAGTTCCCTGGCAGTACTTGGGGTTCAGTGACGAACCACGCAAAGGAAGGGCCACTTCTCGTCCCAAAGCCAGTACCAGCTCTGCCAGCGTGTTACTGCTGACTGTGTCCTTCCATTTGCCGCCTTTGTTCCCCACTCACATCTATAAACTACAGCTAAACACTTCACAAATTAAGCTCTGAATGTGGCTCCTTACATTTACTTGGTGTGGCTCAAAGGCAGCCATGGTAAATAGGAGGGAGGAGAGTCTGGAGCTCCTCCCTGCATGCAGCCCTGCTTCCCTCAGCCACCTCATGTGGGTCCCAGGAAGGGCAACATGGGAGCCTCTTTCCCCAGTGCGACGCTTGTGTGTGCTGGCTTCAG